CCCCCCAGCCAGCACCGCTCCCCCTCTCCCCCCGAAGCATGTCTGGTATTTTTTTATGACTACCTGGTAGCCCTAACCCCAGGACGCTGGGCGGCGGGGGCAGAAGTGCCCTGTCGGTATCCGAGCACAGAGGAGAGGGAGGTAACTGGTGGTCTGAGTCGACTGCCTGCCCTGCCCGCCCCTGCCTCTGGGCAGCCAGCAGGACCCGGGTTTTATTCTCATCAGGCCTACGCCTGCAACTGGCTTCCACTGGAGGCACTAGCCAGAGCTGTGCTGTGCGGAGCCTGCCCTGGCAGGCCTGCGGGCTCCAGCCCACACGGCGAGGGACAGGCCAGGGCACGGCCTGCAGGGACCCGGGTGGCGCAAGCCAGGCTGGGCAGCGCCCTGGCTCGATGGCACGCAGCCCTGGGGAGGCTGGAAACACGGATATGCAATGGCCGCCAGCAGCTGGGGACCTGGGCCCAGTCTGGGGCGGAGGGGAAGGGGGGGCAGTGCGCCCCTGCCCTTCTGTGGGGCTAGCTGAGGGGGGCAAACAGCATCTCCAAGGCGGCTTGCTCCCTTCCCTTGGAGACTCAGGGAGCCCCTCTGGCAAAGCCGCAGCTGCCCCGACAGCAGAACTACCCTCCTGTCAAACCCCTCGGCAGAGGTGGAGGGGCCACAGAGACGGCCCTACGCTCTCTCTCCAGGAGGGGCCTGCGGCCTGAGGGGAGCCCCGTGGACGGGGGAGGTTGGCTTGGTGAACAGGGCTCCAGTTTCCAGTGCTGGCTTCTCTCACACATTAGAGTTGTAAAGTCCAGGTTAATCAGTTAACCGGCTACAGGTCATGTTTAACCAGTTAACCGCTCAACCAGGATCGCGGCATGGCGTGGCAGGGCCAGCGGGGGGCTGCTCCAGCCTGCGGATTAACGGGTTACCTGGTAACGGGTAACCGGCCACATCCCGAACACAAACGTCCCATTCCCTAGGAAGAAACGCACCCCCTGCCTGGCAGACTGGCTCTTTATTCAGTGTGCAGGGAAGCCTGCCCCTTTCCACACACTGCACCAAACCGCAGCCGTGAAAAGCAGAGAAACTCCCTCGTGCTTCTTCACTGTGGCCCGTCCGAGCCAGGGCTCCACGGAGGGAAGGATTCCAACCCCGTCGACGCGCTTGTGCCGCGGCGCGGGGGATCATGGCGTGGAACGAAATCCAGCGCGCGTGGCAGTGACACCGCGTACCAAGGGCGGGCAAACAGCACGGCTGCAATCCTGAATCCAGCGCCTCCCACGCATGTTTCAGGTAGGGCAATGGAACATTCGCCCCCCAGGGAGGGAACCGCTCCTCCTCCCCCACGCCTCCCCACTCACGCAGTACGGTCTCCAAGACTTGTGGACAGTGAATCAGAGTCCGAGCCAGACACGCCCTTGTTCCCTGGAAATTCCTCAGGAGGCCTTTCAACATTTTTCAATGATTGATGAAAATCTGAGAAAGAAATAGATTTCAAAACAGCGATGTTGGCGGGAGGGGGGGGGGTCTCTGTCTTTTACCATTGGTAAGGATCAGGGAGAAGGGACGGGAACCAAAATGAAAAGTCTAAACCAGTGTTCAGGTTTTAATTTAAAGATCAGAAAAAAAATTAAAACCAGAACATTTCCCACTTATTTTTTTTTTAAGGCAGTGTTTCCTTGGGAGCAACTGGCCAGGAAAGCTTTCACCGAACTCGCATTACGAGACCCCCGGGCTACAAGGAGGGACGTTCCTTTTTAAAACCACTGTAGTAACAGGAAGGTCTGAAACAGAAACCCATGTAGCACAGGCCTGGTTAGAGGCCAGAGGCCTAGCTAACAATGGGCAAACCATGGCTACCTGTCATTTTACTGAATTTTAGGGAAGCAGCCAGATCACTGCTGCACCCATGGAGGAGAGGGGGGCTTGGCCCCAAAAGTGGCACCAAGGGGGCCATGTGAGGTGTCAAATAGAAGTCTACTTTCTTCTGATTCTCTATATGCTACTCATGTGATTGTAGAATGTCTGTGGGTGAAGTTATAAGCATGTACTTTGTATGAGTGCTGAATATTTCTCTATATGTGGTTGAGTAATGGGCCAGGAATGTTTGCCTATTGACATGCTAATGAGCAAGTCTCCAGGGAACTATGGATCTCTGGAGGCCAAAGATACACCTGGCCACTGGCCATGTGACTCTAGCCAGCTGGAAAGAAACCTGGAAGGAAGGATAAATAGGCCATGTGGCTGACTCCATGTTGGTCTTCAGATCTGCTACTGATCCCCAGATGCAGCCTTGCAGGGAATTACAAGGCGGGAAGAACTGTGGACCCATCCTGACACAGGATGTACACCAAGGACTTTTAAGCCAGCAGCTATAACATCTCTGCTGCAAGCCTGCATCGAGAACTGGGAGATTCGATGCATGTAATGTACTATCCTTTAACAATCTTACTCTCACGCTTTTCTTTCTTGTAGTAATAAACCTTTAGATGGTAGATTCTAAGGGATTGGCTCAGCGTGGTTTGTAGGTAAGATCCAGAGGGTAAATTGACCAGGGAACTGTGGCTGGTTTCTTGGAACCGGACAGAACTTGTTCGGGGTAGGTGGGATTGGGTTCTAAGACCCCCCCACCGGTGTATGAGGCCCGGGGCCATCTGGGGCACGGATATTGCTGGGGTGTCGGAGGGGTTTGCTCGTGAGGCTTCAGACAGGCAGCTGAAGTGCTCTGTGGGACTGGTTTGTGGCCTATTTGGGAAGGTCTCCAGTTGGGGGGCTGTAAGGAGCCCCGAAGTTGAGCAATTCGCCCTGAGCGGATGCCCTCAGCTGTGCCCAGACACAGCTCGGTCCGTCACACTAACATAAAGCAAAGCTGAGCTGTGAGCGCAAGGCAGGCCCTGCTCACGCAACTGGGCACACACAGGGCTGAGAGAGCAAAACGCTCCTTGGGAATAGGCCCAGGTGAAGACCAGTCATTGGCACTGGGCAGAAGTGGAAAGCACACGCCAAAAAAACAGACCTTGGTACCCATTCCCCACAGATACGGACCCAGGTTCAGGGAAGGGTCTAAAACAACAGCAGGATGGAGAGAGATGATCTAACCAAGCCATGAGGTGCAGGGTGATGGGTGGTATCTAAGAAATGTCAGAGGGTGGCAACCTGTGTAACTTGTCTGCACCGATATATAAAGTGGTGTCTTGGGGGGGACACCAGTCTTTTTCCAGCTGGGGGGCAGTGGGAACTTCCCACCAGTTGAGCTGAGGCCACTGTTGTAAGTACCTGTGTATAGTGGGTCACTAGAGTCCACCGACGACTGTGACTGTACTTCGCTTAGCAAGAAACCTGTCTGGGCACCTTCGATCCTTATCTGGTTTGTGGTCTTTGGGGGCCCTCTCGGGGTCTGCTGTGGTCATTGGGCACACACGCAAGCAGCTGTCTGGTTCTCATCATCGACGGAGCCAGAGACCTGTGAGGACACAGCAGCAATAGGATGAAGTTTAATAAAGACAAACCAGTCTTTTTCCAGCTGGGGGGCAGTGGGAACTTCCCACCAGTTGAGCTGAGGCCACTGTTGTAATTACCTGTGTACAGTGGGTCACTAGAGTCCACCGACAACTGTGACTGTACTTCGCTTAGCAAGAAACCTGTCTGGGCACCTTCGATCCTTATCTGGTTTGTGGTCTTTGGGGGCCCTCTCGGGGTCTGCTGTGGTCATTGGGCACACACGCAAGCAGCTGTCTGGTTCTCATCATCGACGGAGCCAGAGACCTGTGAGGACACAGCAGCAATAGGATGAAGTTTAATAAAGACAAATGCAAAGTGCTCCACTTAGGAAGGAACAATCAGTTTCACACACAGAGACTGGGAAGCGACTGTCTGGGAAGGAGTACGGCAGAAAGGGATCTAGGGGCCATAGTGGACCACAAGCTGAATATGAGTCAACAGTGTGATGCTGTTGCAAAGAAAGCAAACATGATTCTGGGCTGCATTAACAGGAGTGTTGTGAGCAAGACATGAGAAGTCATTCTTCCGCTCTACTCTGCGCTGGTTAGGCCTAAATTGCAGTATTGTGTTCAGTTTTGGGCACCGCATTTCAAGAAAGCTGTGGAGAAATTGGAGAGGGTCCAGAGAAGAGCAATGAGAATGATTAAAGGTCTAGAGAACATGAGCTAGGAGGGAAGGCTGAAGGAATTGGGCTTGTTTAGTTTAGAAAAGAGAAGATTGAGGGGGGGACATGAGAGCAGTTTTCAGATATCTAAAAGGGTGTCATAAGGAGGAGGGAGAAAACTTGTTCATCTTGGCCTCTGAGGATAGTACAAGAAGCAATGGGCTTAAACTGCAGCAAGGGAGGTTTAGGTTGGACATTAGGAAAAACTTCCTACCTGTCAGGGTGGTCAAACACTGGAATGAATTGCCCAGGGAGGTTGTGGAATCCCCATCTCTGGAGATATTTAAGAGCAGGTTAGATAAATGTCTATCAGGGATGGTCTAGACCATGCTGGGTCCTGCCATGAGGGCAGGGGCCTGGACTCGGTGACCTCTCGAGGTCCCTTCCAGTCCTAGTATTCTATGATTCTATGACACCACAGCAGTAAATCCACCTAACTGCAACTACCACGAGGGTCTATTTCATAGAACCATAGAGCTGGAAGAGACCTCAGAAGGTCAAGTCCAGCCCCCTGCTCTAGGCAGGACCAATCCCAACTAAATCAACCCAGCCAGGGCTTTGTCAAGCCGGGACTTAAACACCTCTAGGGATGGAGATTCCACCCCCTCCCTAGGGAACCCATCCCAGCGCTTCCCCACCGGCCTAGGAAAATAGTTTTTCCTAATATCCCACCTGGTCCTCTCCCAACGCAACTTGAGACCATTGCTCCTTGTTCTGTCACTACTGTGAACAGCCTTTCTCCAGCCTTTTTGGACCCCCCCTTCAGGAAGTTGAAGGCTGTTCTCAAATCCCCCCTCACTCTTCTCTTCTGCAGACTAAACAGACCCAGTTCCCTCTGTCTCTCCTCACAGATCATGTGCTCCAGCCCCCTCATCATTTTGTTTGCCCTCTGCTGGACCCTCTCCAATGTGTCCACATCCTTTCTATAGTGGGGGGCCCAGAACTGGACACAATACTCCAGATGTGGCCTCGCCTGTGCCGAATAAAGGGGAATAATCACTTCTCTAGATCTGCTGGCAATGCTCCTCCTAATGCAACATAATATGCCATTAGCCTTCTTGGCTACAAGGGCACACTGAGGATTCATATCCAGCTTCTCATTCACTGCAATCCCCAGGGCCTTTTCTGCTGAACTGCTGCTTAGCTGGTTGGTCCCCAGCCTGTAACAATGCTTGGGATTCTTCCATCCCAAGGGCAGGACTCTGCACTTGTCCTTGTTGAACCTCATCAGATTTCTTGTAGCCCAATCCTCCAATTTGTCTAAGTCACTCTGGACCCTATCCCTACTTCTCCCCCTATCTTAGTGCCATCTGCAAACTTGCTGAGGGTGCAATCCATCCCCTCCTCCAGGTCATCAATAAAGATATTGAATGAAACTGACCTAGAACCGAACCTTGGGGCACTCCACTAGAAACCAGCCGCCATCCTGACATTGAGCCGTTGATCACTACCCCCTGGGCCCGACCTTCTAGCCAGCTTTCTATTTCACTAGGCTCTCCATGTTCTCTCTCTCTGATAACTAGCACAGAACACCTGCGTAGAGAACATGGCACATGTGAACTACACAAATGTGACACTTTTCTGAGCTGCGGTTGGCACCACGCCAGGCATGCATAGGGAAAATGGCAAGTTTTTGCAAGTCCACCGCATGGATCAGTAGCCCAGTGGGAGTTGAGAAACCCTAACTCACAGCTATAATTCTTGTTGCCAGTTGCACTGTACACAACAGCTTCTGACAGCATCTTTGCCTTATTTGTTCAAACAACCAATGCTCTTTGTCATGGGATAGGAAGGAAGGTCCTCTCCTGGATTGAGAACTGGTTAAAAGACAGGAAACAAAGGGTAGGAATAAATGGTCAGTTTTCCAAGTGGAGAGAGGTAGCTAGCAGGGTCCCCCAAAGGTCCGTACTGGGACCCATCCTATTCAACGTATTCATAAATGATCTGGAGAAAGGGGTAAGCAGTGAGGTGGTAACGTTTGCGGATGATACCAAACTGTTTAGGATAGTCAAGACAGAAGCAGACTGTGAGGGACTCCAAAAAGATCTCACCAAACTAGGGGTATGTCTATACTACAAAGTTAATTCGAACTAACAGACGTTAGTTCGAATTAACTTTGATAGGCGCTACACAGGCAAACCGCTAGTTCGAACTTAATTCGAGCTAGCGGAGCGCTTAATTCGAACTAGGTAAACCGCATTCTACGAGGACTAAGCCTAGTTCGAATTAAGCAGTTCGAATTAAGGGCTGTGTAGCCACTTAATTGGAACTAGTGGGAGGCTAGCCCTCTCCAGCTTTCCCTGGTGGCCACTCCGAGCACCATCAGGGAAACTCATATGCCCCCCTCACGGTCCTGGAGCCCTTAAAGGGGCATGGGCTGGCTACGGTGCCCGTGCCCCCGCTGCCAACCAGCCCTCCGCCTCTTCCCGGGACCCGGCTGGCGGCTCCCAGGAGCCTGGCCAGGTCCGCAAGAGGCGGGTGCCCACCTGGTCTAGTGCAGACATCGTGGACCTCATCCAGGACCTCCGCACTAGGCACAGGAAAGTGGACGTCTAGGGCAGGATAGCTGCCAGCCTGGCCACCCAGGAGCAGGTTGGCATGAAAATCAAGGTGGTCCACTGAGACCCCCAACCCTGAGCCCTGAGCTTAGAACGACCGTACTGGGTCAGACCAAAGGTCCATCTAGCCCAGTAGCCTGTCTGTCAACAGCGGCCAACCCTAGGGATCCTGGAGGGGATGGACCGAAGACAATGACCAAGCCATTTGTCTCGTGCCATCCGTCTCCAGCCTTACACAAACACATGCTGTAGTGTAGACATACCCTAGGTGATTGGGCAACAAAATGGCAAATGAAATTGAATGTGGATAAGTGTAAAGTAATGCACATCGGAAAAAATAATCCCAACTATACGTACAGTATGACGGGGGCTAATTTGGCTACAACTTATCAGGAAAGAGATCTTGGAGTCACTGTGGGATAGGTTCTCTGAAAACATCCAATCCGTGTGCAACGGCCATCAGAAAAGCAAACAGAATGTTGGGAATCATTGAAAAGGGAGAGAGAATAAGACAGAGAATATCTTACTGCCTCTGTGTAAATCCATGGAACGCCCACAGCTTGAATACTGCTGTGGTTGCCTCATCTCAAAAAAGGTACCTTGGCATTGGAAAAAGTTCAGACAACGGCAACACAAACTATTAGGGGTTTGGAACGGGTGGCATAAGCAGAGAGATGAATAAGACTGGGACTTCTCATCTTAGAAAAGAGGAGACGGGAGGGGGGATATGATAGAGATCTATGAAATCATGAGAGCTATGGAGAAAGTAAACAAGGGAAAGTTATTGACTTGTTCTTATAACCTAAGAACTAGGGGTCCCCAGATGAAATTAATAGGTAGCGGGTTTAAAACAAACAAAAGGAAGTATTTCTTCATGCAGCGCACAGTCAACCTGTGGAACTCCTTGCCAGAGGATGTTGTGAAGACCAGGTTTCAAAAAAGAACTAGATACATTCATGGAGGATAGGACCATCAATGGCCACTAGCCAGGATGGGCAGGAATGGTGTTCCTAGCCTCTGTCTGTCAGAGGCTGGGAATGAGTAGCATGGGAGAGATCACTTGCTGATTCCTTGCTCAATTCATTCCCTCTGCGTGCACAGTGCCTAGCACGACGGGGTGCTGGTGCATGACTCGGGCTCCTAGATGATACAACGATAAAATAACGAGTGAAGAATTCTCCTTTTCTTCTCTGACTCCCCCTCCCAACGCATTTATACCTGGGGGAAGGGCTTGTTAAACTCCGTGGCGGCGGAGGGCAGGGGGAGAGCTAACAGAGGGCATGGAACAGGCTCCCGTCAGTACCGAAGGCCAATCGGTTATGGGGGGCGGGAGGAGGCAGTTGGATCCTCCTGAGCTCTTGCGGAGTAGCTCAGTGCCCTGTGTTGGAAATCAGGACCCCAGCACAGCTGCTACAATGCTCGTCATTTTGGCTTCCTTTTTTTGGTGCAGCTTAAGCAATGTCGTCGACAGGTGTTTTTCTCCGGCCAGCTGCAGCAAGGGGGGTGCTGAGCGAGAACCAGAGGAGCCTGGTATTTCAGACCAGCGGTGCCAGTCCGGATTGGGGAGAGCACTGAGACCTCAAATCCAGGGTAGGCGTCCTGAGCAGCAGCTCAGCTTCAGCCTGATCCCTCCTAAGAGGCTACGGAAGCGACACCGCTCCACCGGCGGCGCCTTCGGACAATGCAAATGTGTCACCGACGGCTGCATGGTTAGTTCTTTTAACACCCCCCACCCCCACCCCCCACACACTTCACTGGACTTTCTACTCCGCTCTGGGAGTGCTGTGAGAAGGCAGCCGCGGGCAGGTCAGCTCTGCTCATGTGCAAAGTGGCCCCGGGCCAGCAGGACACAAAGGCACGTTTCATTTCAGCAAGTGCCGGGGGCCGCTGGCATGGGGCCGGGGCAGACCTGGCTCCCCACGCTGAGACCCCCGTGCTAACTCCAGGCGCAGCAGGATTTGCTGGGGGCCACGGGCCTGCTGTGGGGGTGGTTCCGTGAGCTTTCCCCATGTTTTCCCTGAAAGAAATTAACGAAATCCACA